CCGATATGTAAGTCGCCACAGGAAGGGAAAACAAGTGTCATGATCAAGATGAAAACTGAAAGCAGGGAAACTGTTCTCCAAATCCTTTGGATTTGAAAATTTGAGAATCAAGTGTCCGTGATTCTTAGAGACGTCTATGAGAGCAATCAGGATTATTAAAACAATGGATCTGTCTGGGAAGCACTTGCTGTTAACGTTTTTCTCTTTATTTATCTTCATCAGCTCTGACTAGAAAATCAGGTGGGGTTGCTATCTATTTAGATGCTACCATTTCAGGCAGGCGCCAAGTGTGGCCTCCTATTCACAAGGGTAAATCCACACTGAACATCTTCAGAAGAGGTGTCATGTTTTGCCTTCAGTACAGCAACTGAATGCTGCTGCTGCTTCTCAGACCAAAGCCAATAATGATTTTAAATTACCATGCAGCTGTGTGTCAAATGAACACAAGTCCTGAGCATCATGTAGTGTTTTCTGAGCCCTCAGCAGTCTTATTTGTAACAGCACTGGCATATTTTCCCCATGGGAAAGAGACTGAGCAAAACTACACTGCTAACTTTGAAGAAAAAACTCTACACACTATTATTTCCATCTGAAGCCTCACTCTGTTTAGACAGAAAGGGCACAAGGCTACCAGGTTTCTGATACACATTCTTTTCACACATTCAAGTTAAATAAACACTTAAGCACAGACATACTGCACATCTAACATAACTGCTGCTAACATACTGGATCAAAACTAGGCAAAGTGCATGTTTTTTGTCATAAACATCCAACAACACACTCCACACGCTGTGCAAGGTTAAGACAGATGCCTAATGCTTATGACATGCTCACAGCACTCCCCAAAATGGTAACCAGATGCCTAGATGATAAGAGGAATGTTATCTTAAGTCTGCTCAGGGCAGGAAGAGGGCCTGTGGCTTCTGCCAGGCATCTTAAGGTCTGACTTACCGGTGAGGTATCCTGCTGTTTGAGAGTCAGAAATGAACAAATCATGTTTCTGGTCTTTGAAGGCACTCCAGACTGAAGAGCGGGAGAGGATCTCGTTCACCTGGGGAAGTAAAGCAACCCCTACTTAGCATGGTTATGTCAGGGACTAGTTGTGGGAAGACTGAACCAAGCAGGAAAAACAACTTTCGTGCCAGAGGCCATTGGGAAAGGACCAGGAACTAGTGTCCATCACACATGGACTCCCAGGCACTGTGCTGGGCACATCTCAAGAACCAGAGCTACGAAGGGCTGGAGGAATGATGCTGAAAACTGGAATTACAACTTTAAATCAGCCTTTCAAAAGATATACTGTGTCTTGTGAGATCATGAACAATACACACGAGAAAATAAGTGAACAGACAAAACATTGGAGTAACACATGTAAAATGGGCAAACACTCCACGAAGTACACACATACAAGAGAATTACTGTGTGTTGTGTATTAGACTGAGATGGAAGGTGAAAGTGTATAGAAACCAGCAACTGAAGAGGCCATCCGTGTTTAGATGAAGTATTTCCTGAGAACCGCTTAGGTGCAGACCTGGAGGCCACATCTCGGAGTCTCTGAGTCAAATGGAAAACTCACAGTTGGGTGTGTGACCTACAGCAGAATCAGGGCAGATCCCCTTCCAGCCTGGGCAGGAAGCAGTACTGAATGGGGAGTTGAGATGGGGATGAAAGAGTTCTGGTTTTAGAAGGCATTGTTCCCTTTCCCCTTTTATGGAGTAGAACGTGGGTATCAGGGCAACTTGGCTAATTTCATCCCTTGAAATGCCAGTGCAGGTCGAGGGGACACACGTGGCACACAGGGAGCCTCTGCTCGCCACTCAGAACACCCAGAGGTATACCAGTTAATGCTGAAGCTACATACGTGGCTTGTCTTCTGTAGCATCGCTTTAAATGATTCAAATACTGAGAGAAAGCCAGTGGCATCCAAAATGTTCCTTTTCTTGAAACACAGAAGCCTAATTTCACTAAAGGAAAGTTTAGTAAAGTATGTTTACGCACAAAAAGAACATCTGCACACAGAAATGACCCAAACCTCCACCGAATGGATGAATGGGTAAACAAACTGTACTGACTATACACACAATGGGAAATTTAAGCATACAAAGGATTGAAAACCTTTAATATACCCCACAACATGGATGAATCTCAATGCTAAAATGAAATACATAAAACAGATAGACCTGTATGTTGAAAACAGAGTAGTGGCTGCATGGTTGGTGCTGTGGGATAAAGGGTACATTACCAGTCACAGGGGTAATAAATGTGCTCAGGAGCTAGGCAGGGTGGGATTATTACAATGCTGCTAAGGTGGGAAAAGCCAATTCAGTGTTCACTATAGTTAACTCCATGTTATGTGTGATGGTTAGCATTATCAACTGAAAGACTCTAGACTAGCACTTCTCAACCTGTAAGTTGTGACTATTGGAAAACACATACTTCTGATGGTCTTGGGAACTGAGACACTGCTCAGTAGCTAAACTACCATTATGAAGCAGCAACGAAAATAAACGTATGGTTGGGGGTTCCTAAGACCATCAGAAATCTGTGTTTTCTGATGACTGTGACCCACAGGTTGAGAACCACTGATCCAGAATAACTTGGTTATGACTGTGGGGGACTGTCTAAATTGCCTTATTGAAGCAGGAAGAAGATCTGATCTGAGCATGTGCATCTCAGTCAGGCCTTTGGAAATGGCTTGGAGGAGGAATCTGGAAGAGTTTGGAAGTGTGGATTAGAAAACCTTGACTCCTGAAAAGAGAGCATAATGAGGTAGTCTGGTGGGAGACTGGAAGACAATGCTCAAAGAAATTAGGTACAGTTGGCGCTTGGCTCGAGCTTTTGGGGAGAACAAGGACTCTGTGAGGAACTGGGCCGGAGGGCATTTGTGTGATGTTTGGCCAAGAATCCGGCCTAATTCTGCCCATAAACTGAGAACTTGGGTGAAGTTTAGTTTAAAGATAACAGACTAATTTGTATGGCAGAGGAAACTCCAAAACAGGAGAACCTTCAAGCTGATGCTAAAGAGGTTAGTACCACTGAAAAGAACTTTCCCATGCTGCACTGGGACAATAGAAAAAAGTGCCCTGGGGCAAAACCCCACCTCTCAGAGGTCTATCTTGTTAAGTTCCAGAGTCATTTAAAGGAAAAGAGCCTGTACTAAAGGGGTTTCCTGTTCCTCAAAAACAACTGCCTGGAAGTATTTCTTCAGGGTCAACACACAAGCTGATGTAGCTGTGTTCCTGGGGGTGGGGCCCTCCTGAGCTGGTGGCAGAACCTGGCAGCACCATCCATGTAGTACTGGTTTTTAAGACATGAAAGAAACAAGACTCATGGTGATCACAAGAGCACCGGAAGCCAGACAAGGTCCTTAGGTGGGAGTCCCTGAAGAGTCTCTGGGAGGCTACTGCAAGAGGCTATGAGAGCAGAGGTAAGTTGCAGGGGAGATAAGTTGCAGGGGAGCCCCTAGATCCATGGGAAAGCTGCAGGTAGAGAGGGTGGGGCTACATAAGCTCTCTGAAGCCCAGAGTATCATATTACAAGCCTCAGAGGCTGCAATGGAGCTGGGCTTTAGTACTCACTATGCTACAAGTTTTATCTTGCTATGGCTTGATCACTCCTTGCTCTCTTTTGTGTCATTATATACATGTACCTTGGTTTTACTTTTATAAAAACACACAGATAAGGTTCTTTAGAATTTAAAAGTGTTAAAAAAAAAACTGTTGATGACTTTACAAAGTTGGACTGAGTGTTTCATGTAATAACACAGTCATGAGTCTCTGAGGATAAGTGGTGGAAAATTATGGCTTAAAAAATGATGTTTGCATGGCAAGTTGACAGGGGTGGAGTTTAAGTGGCTAGTGTTAATTGTCAACGTGATAGAACCTAGAATCACCTGGAGACGGGCTACTGGACATGTCTGGAAAGCTGCCTTGAATGCCTTAACTGATGTGGGAGACCTGTTCACTGTGCGCGGCACCATCCCCTAGTGGGATCCTGGATTCCAAGTGGAAAAAGGCTACTGAGCCGCAGCACATATTCATGTCTCTGTGCTTCCTGACTGTGAATGCAATGTGCCCAGCTACTTCAAATTCCAGCCACCCTGATTCTCAGCCATGCTGCACCTTGAACTGTGAGCCAGAGTTAGCCTTTTCCCTGAAAATTGCCAGAGTAGTTTGTCAGAGCAACAAGAAAAGGGACTGACACACTATGCAGACTTCACTTCAATAAAGAAAACAAAGGCTTCAGAAGCAACGAAATCCGAGCGGCTGGAGAGATGCTCAGTGGGTGAGGTGTCTTCTGCTGAACCTGACAACCTGAATTCAGTCTTCAGGACCTACACAGAGTATAGAGAACAGACTCCTGCAAACTGTCCTCTGACCTCCACATGTGAGTTCTGTCATGTATGTACTTATGCATGCATGCACACACACACACCTTGTTAAAATGAAGTAAGTTAAATGCTAAGATGAAAAGTCAATTCCTTAAGAGGCCTGAAATCAGCATATGTGCAGCTGAAACACATTAACACACAGCCACTCTGAAAGGGAAAAGAAACTAGTACTTTCCAAGCACAAATAAAGAGATTTAAAATGACGTTCAGATCTTTTCAATGGCACCTGATTCTATACTAAGTGTTTCAAATTCCTCCACACTAAGACTTTTACTGGTTTTCTTCTTGAAATACAGAACATACTTTCACTATGCAGAAAAAAGAATCCCCTTGCATGCCTGTTGGGCACAAGCCTGTGCTTTTTCTGCAGCTGTGAAGCAGTTACGCAGAAGTGCCCTGGCCACACCTGTGAGTGGATTCACCCACTGTCAAGACCCTGTCTCTGAACAGCCTTCTCAGTCAGGAACACAAAGGTGCTTCTCACAGACTCACCTGTTCTCCGTACTGCAGACTTCGAGTCATTGCCTTGAGAGCTTTAACAATCTGGGCCTTAGTGGCGGCAGGACTGTCTATGTTTTCAAGGCCTATGCCTTCAAGCAACTTTAAGAGGTATGGGACCAACTCTGCTTTCAGAGCCTGGAATGAAGCAAGCACTTATATGAGCACAATGAAGAAAATGTACACCACCTACTGAATTTCACCACAAGGATCATATCTACAGTAAGTAAGGCAACCTGTTCTTAGCATTTCAATGCAGATGCTGATTATTATTTTAGTATCAAACAGAAACTGCATTCTTATATAAAGTGATTTTTATTCAGTTCTAGCAACCCTTCTAAATGCTATGCATCAATTATGTAATTTTCCTCACAATAAATGAAGGTAAACTTATTATTTCAGATAAAAACATAGGTGCACACAGGGAAAAGAAACACGTATACACCACAGAGCTGGGTATACTGGAACCTGCAAATGGACCCAGGAGGGACAGAAGCAAGCTTTGAGCCACTGTAGCGGGCTGCCTCCGCTAATGGTGTCTTGAAGGACTTGGCTACCGTTTGTATCTTCCCCCAACACCACGCTCTGCAGTCATCATTTAGTTAGCAGCCTGAGAGCGTGAAATAACAACATGTCACTATTTCACAGAATGCGGCGAGGTGGAAGTGACGCTGAGGTGTGTACACCCTTTCCTCCTAACAACCCAGTGAGATGAAGCTGACCTTAGAGTCACTTCCTATGAGAGGTTGGCTGGCAGGTCTGGGACCCAGAGCCATCTAGAGTAGACTAGCTTACACTAGTCCGCTCCGATCCACCACCTCCTCTACGCCCACTTTGTACCTCTGCCTGTTTACGGAAGGTAGAAGGCTGGCTTGAGGAGAAGCTGAAGGGAGAGTGAAGGAGAGGCAGATGCCCAGGTACAGATGTAGAGGTCTGTCTTCAGTTTAAAGACAGCAGATGTCACTTTTCATCTGGCAGGGTTTGCCACCAAAGGCTTTGAAGACAAAAGGTAACTGAGTTTTTGATTACTTTTTGTTTTTATATTTTTTTATGGGATACGAAGTGATGTGATGATGTGTCTGTTCAATGCATGTGGTGGCTTGAAAGAAAATGTGAGTGGCATATTAGGAGGTGTGGCTTTTTTGAAGTAGGTGTGGCCTTTTGGAGGAAGTATGTCACCATTGGGGTGGGCTTTGAAGTCTCCTATGCTCAAGCTACACCCAGTGTGAGACAGTTAACTTCCTGTTGCCTGCAGATCAAGATGTAGAACTCTTAGCTCCTTCTCCAGCACCATGTCTGCCTGCATGCCACCCACTATGATGACAACAGATTAAACCTCTGATTGGTAAGATAGCCCCAATTAAAGGTTTTCCTTTATAACAGTTGCCGTGGTCATGGTGTCTCTTCATGGCAATAGAAATCCTAACTAAGACAATGTAAAATATCAAGCTAATTAGCAAAATTATGGCTTCAAGCATCTTTTGTGAAGAGGACATTTAAATTTATTCTTATATGTGGTACACTATCAGCTGCACTCACCACAATGCAACAGACGCACAAACTTTCCAGCCGTGACAGACACTGCCCCATTTCCCACCCTGGCCTCTGCTAACTAACTACCCTTCTCTGCTCACAGGAGTGTGAAGGCCACCCGGGTGAAGCTATGTGGTATTTGCATCCAGAACAAGAAAGTTCGTTTTTGCCCGAGTTTACCTTTTCCCTTCAGTGTCTGTGTACACTGGTATCTACCAAGTCTGATTTCTACTAGGTGAGTGGTCTCTGTGAATAGAATACAAATCTCAACCTGATTCTAAAGAAATAAGGAATGAATGAACAGGACCCAAAGAGTTCGATGAAATCATTTTTACAAAGAAGCTAAGGATGAACGCAAAAAAAAAAAAAAAAAAAAAAGGGCAAGAAAAGTTGGTGAGACACTAACTTTTCTGTGTGTCCAACTGTCAAACAGTATTTACAAAGTCCTATGGGCTCAGTCACAGAGTATCTGTCTGGTATGTCTGCTTTCCTGAAACAGTGCTCACAGACAGTCACTTACCTGTGCCACTAATTCATTCTGCTCCTTCTGGAACATTCGATTAATTGCTTCACAGGCCAGACCAACAGTATCTGCTCGCTTTTTCATTCCATTCATCAGTGGACCAATGGTCTCCAAAGATGCCATGGCTCGAACACACAGCTAAGAGTCCAAAAGACAAGGATACTTGTAGAGTTGAATGTTATACACGGCAAGGTAAGTTCCACAGCAACAAGATGCAATTTCAAACACACTTTTCTGGTTAAGAAGGAATAAGTTCCACCTCTACTAATCACTGAAACTGATAGAAAAAGGCACACAGCAGATGGGGCCTAACACTCTCAAGTGTCGTCAAGGGGCCACAGATAAACTTTGGAGCTCTAAGCTCCTGAGTGGATTCATTAATACCTCATTGTCAGACAGGGCGTGAATAACCCGAATAGCACTCTTAGGAATGGCATTGTTTCTGTGATTCATCGCCTGGATAACTTTGGGAAGATGGCCCAATGGTGGGACTTGATCTGCCAACTGAGGTTGTGCATTGAAGAGACAAACCGTGGCCATCGTCAGTGTTTCCAGAGTCTCTCCCTGGAAAGAACAAATAAAACACCAGACCAAATAAACCATAAAGCACTGAAAAAATTCTTAAATAGCCTTAAAACAACTGTTGTTCAAAACATTTGTTGTTTGAAAATTCCAAGTGCTGATACCCGCAATCCAATTCCTACATCCTAAGAGAGCAGCAGACTTTTTCTTTGATAAAAGGCACAAACCTAAGGACCTAAAAATGTGCTATCACATCCTAAGCAGCCCTCACTGGGCCAGGTACACTGTGTTTTTATGGCAGAGGTAAAAGATAATTCCTAAATGACTATATGACAATTTAAGACAGGGTTACATACATGCCACTGTGAGACAGCAGCAAGAATCCAAAAGAATGCAGGAGCAGTTGGTGTTTCTCCCAGTTCTATGAAAAGCACTATTACAGGCCAACAACCTCTTTCCTGAAATGCTTCAATCCAGAAATGTTTCAGATCCTAGATATTTACATAGACATTACTACCTGGCTTTGGGCATCACTGTGATACTTAAGGGTTCTGATTTTAGAGCACCTAAGACTTTTGATTTTCTGAAAAGAAATGTTTAACCTATATTTAATAGATCTGGCTACCATTATGGTCTTTCCTATAGTAGATCATGGCTTGCAAAGACACATACCTCATATCATCACACACACAACATGTACATTTGAATTCAAATGTAGCTGCTATTTTGAGATTTTGTTTTCATGCAGTGCTGGAGACCAAACTCTGAGCCATGCACATGCTAGGTAAGCACTCTACCACTACAGACCCCCAGCCCTGGAGTTATCCAAGAAGCAACTGATTCTCCCTGGTCAGCAAGGATGAGGTTTTCAGGGGAATGTAACTGGTATACTCAGCAAACTCTTTGAAGTGTTTTGTTGATGACTGAGGCTTACATGCGGGTTGTTCTTCTCCAGGAGCTCAGTTAATTTTTCTAACAGTGCAATAAGAAATTCTCTGGGTTTTCTCAGCACCCAAGCTGGCTGTGCTATGAAGATTCTCAAGAAAACTCCTCCCACAGCGAGTTCACCCTCTGCTTCTCCAAATACCACAGCGAAATCTTCAGGCAACTTTAAAGAGAGGGGAAGGAATCATGGGTGAGTCATCTTATATTATCATTCCTCTGCAAAGCAGGAAATGTAAGACTGATAATGAAATCTGCACACAATACACTACTACAAAGATAGCCGTTAGTAACAACTGTTTTAGACACAATAAAATTATAATAATTGAGATTTCCTCTTAATGGAGCCTGTAGAAGATGTCATTGTCATCATTTGGTTCTAGTGTAAGTATTCTGACTTTGACATCTGTTTGAAGCCTGGTTCCCATGGGCATACCCACATGGCTTAAGAACAGAGTAATCAACAGCTACAGGCCGACACACTGACTCAACAGAAATTAAAATACAACAACAACAAAAATACAAAACAAAACCCTGTAAAATAAAAAGTGTAGTTTACCTTCCAGTTCACATCAGGGTTGTCCCGCTGGTTTTTAAAGTGCCTTGGAGGGAGGGGGGAGAGGTAAGAACACTGAACTTTAGTCAAATTAGCCTTCAGAACAAGTGTTGGAGAGGGATGGGCAGGACAGGACCACGCCTACCCCTGGGCCTCCCTCCTTACTTACTCTAGCATCATCTCTCTCACAGTTGTAGACACCTTATCTCTGGAACTGTCATTCCAGATCAGCTCTGGATTTTCATGAGTTCCCTCAAATATATGCACAGCAGCTTCGGGGTTGTCTCTCATGGCATCCATGAACACACTGGGCAGAAATTTCATTAACGTAATTCGAACCTAGGGGAGGAAGTTCAGAGTTTTAAGGGCCACTGGAAACATCTCATTATTTGACTTGTTCTTCCAAGTTTCCTAAGACAGAACAGCAGTGCAATCAGTGCTGTGGGTGAGATATAACAACAGTTCTCTAAAAGACCTGGAGAGGAAGAGACAAATCTGAGCTAATGAAAAAGGAACCTTACAAGTCTATGACCTGCCAGTTAGTTCTCTGTTCCCTACAGTGAAGAAACCCGAAAAAACTCAAGTTGGGTGTGGTACCTTGTGCCTGACATTCCAGCACTCATGAGGCTGAGGCCAGAGGACTGACATGAGTTCACGGGAGCTTAGGCTATGTAGGGAGTTCCAGGCTAGCCTGAACTACAGTGTAATACACTGTCTCAAAACGGAAAGACTGATCGACCGACTGACTGACGGACTAACAACATATCCTTCCAAGAAAACGATTCAGAAGCCCTCATATGAAGTTTCCAACACTTTGTACAGGTTCGTGCATGTGCAGTACAACCCTTTGCTGGCCTGTTCCCCTGTCTCTCTGCCTCTATACTCCCACAAACTAACTTTTTTCACATTGCATTTTTATGTCCTACAAGTAGTCTCTAGTGCATTTATTTTGCTCCACTGTGTTTTATGGCACACTGTGTGTCTAAAAAGGACTTTAATGGTAGCTTTGAAACACAGGGGGCTGGGGTCAGCTCAGGGACAGAGGAAGCTCTGGGTTCAGTCCCAAGCACAAACACCACCCCCAACACACAGACACGCACATGAAGATCCAGTGCATAATATAAATGAAAATCAGGGGAAGGAAGGCTCAAGGGCAAAGGGAAAATGAAGGCTGGGAAGACACTTTTTCCATTCATGTCAAACTGTGCTCAAATCTTGTCTTGCGGAAACTCCACTTGCTAGGTATTTTCTTGGCTCCTGACACAGAGATGCTTACTCTATGACCTATACATGAAGTCAGTACAAAGACACATACTATACACATATGTGCGCACACAAATGCCAAAAGCTCCATACAACTACTGGTTACAGAGTTAGCCTCAACTTCTAACAACCAATGAACTAAAGCCGTGACAGTTACACACCAGGGCCCTCACAGAATGACTTATGCCAGCCCATTCATGATCAGCCAACTATCTCGAGAGTGAAGGGAGCTGAGGTCCCCACAGGAGGTATTTCCTATCTAGTGAATAACACTGCTAAATGCAGTGAACAAGACACTCCCAGGCTTAGGCTTCCTTCTGCTTGTACTCTAGTGTGCAGAGACATCATGCCACAAAACTATTCCCTTCTACAGAGAACAAAGCCGGGAAGCACGTTCCAGAAAGTGGCTGAGTTCACTGCTCTTCCTGGCCATCAGCCTCCTGAGGGCAGGAACCATTCTCTTCCTGCCCATACTGGTCCCCTGTGTCCCACCCCCCAACAGCACATTCTCAAAGCTCAGAAAACACACCCCAAGAAGCACTGGAAACTAAAGTAGGACTTAAAACTTTCTAACTTCCTCTCTGTGAACCTAAAGACATTTAGGTCTAGAGATAAGTTATACTGTGTCAAAAACTAAGTCCACAGCCCAGGACTGAGAACAATAAAGCAAGAGTTCGGCTCTCAAGCCACACTGCCACGCGCCACCGCAGGCCACTCAGCCTGTTAGCTTTCCCATCACTTGTGCTTTTCAAAGTTTGAACAAAACCATCTTCTGAAAGACGTTTAGTTAGAAACCCAGTCTAGTCCTTTTCACTATTAATCAGCACATAACCTTGGCGGCGTTCTATGTGAATTTTAGGGCAGAAATGGCTGACAGGTTGAAAACTGCTTTATTACAGTCTAGGATCTGTTCTTTTAAAAAAAAAACCAATAATTTATCTCGTATTTTAAAATATTTCATGGCTTAAAGGCAAAACTGAACTGTTCTCATGAATTTGGAAGACTGGCTTCTCTGTAAGCAAACCATTACACCACTCTCTTCC